ACGGAAACAGCACCGACCCAGCCGTGCCTTGAGGATGTGAAATGCACCCTCGGCTGTCGAACGTTGGGCCGGGGTAGGCGTGTTGAGGCCTAACCCGGCTCCCAAAAAAATAATAATATAAGGGCCCTAATAATTAGCATATTATACCATATGTATATAATAAGGAACCCCCAAAACTCTACTGATAATCATAAAGGCATTCTATTCGGAAGTGCGGAACCCTCGTGGTAACCTTGATAGAACTGGTCGAGCCTGTGCTCGCAGGACTCAGTTTCAGGACTTGGGTGGCTTTGGTTTAGGGTTTAGGGTTTAGGGTTTAGGGTTTAGGGTTTAGGGTTTAGGGTTTAGGGTTTAGGGTTTAGGGTTTAGGGCTACTGATCTAGTCTACAGGGGTACATTATGGTTCGGTCTCCACGCTCAGGTTTTGGGTTTCGGGCTTTGGGACTAGGGTTGGGTTGGGCTTGAAGTTGAGAGTTTAGGTTCAGAGGTCTGGGCGACATGAAAGATGGCGAGAGTCCGGATGCTATGAGGCTGCGGGATTCGAATCTTTGCCCTTCGGGGCTGCAGGAGGTTTAGGGCTTAGGATTCAGGGTTTAGGGTAGCCATCCCTAAGCCCTAAACCCTAAACCCTAAACCCTAAACCCTAACCCCTAATTCAAGGCTGCGGTCTGGAGCTCCAGGTTCTGCTCTTACCATGTCTCGTAGACCCTCTTGTGTCTTCGATAGCTGGTTCTCAGCAAAAAATATACCGGGCCTAGGGTTTAGGGTTTGGGGTTTAGGGTTTAGGGTTTAGGGTTTAGGGTTTAGGGTTTAGGGTTTAGGGTCTAAACCCTAAACCCAAATCCTAAATCCCAAATCCCAAACCCTACACATACAGATGTGATAGAGGCAGATTTGAGCTAACACGTGCCCACATGGTGGTCGCTTCAGCATTCAAAACCTGGTGCTTCGGAAGGCATTATATTATGTCTGCATGCTATACTATAGTACACTCTGTTATGGACTGTCTTACATTATACTGTATTACGCTACCCTAAACCCTAAACCCTAAACCCTAGATTACAAGATACTCTATACATGTATATATATATATATGTGTATATATATATATATATATATATATATATCCTCCGCCGGCCCTGAAGTGTTGCTTAAGTCTTCAACACAGCGGCCGTGGCATCGTCCGCGCAAGCCATGTCCATGACCTTCCAAGCTGCCACTACTGAACTAGAAAGTTCAGGGCTTAGGGTCCAGGGTTTAGGGTTTAGGGTTTAGGGTCTATGGTTTAGGGTTTAGGGTTTAGGGCTTCATGGATTTACAGTCTGGGTTGAAGGTTTAAGCACTAGGGTTTCAGGGATTTGGGTGAGGATTTGCAGGTTTAGAGCATAGCGTTTAGGGCTTAAGGCCCGACGGTTCAGAGTCTAGACGCTAGGGTCTTGTTACAATTGTGAGTTGATGCAACTGCCTGTTCTTCCCTAGCCCGTCTTACGGCGATTAGTGGCATCATTGTGTTGGGCATGCGTGTTTTTCTTCCATGGATTGCTGTTCTTTTTTTGCGGCATTGTGAAAATCATGCTCTGACTGCTGATACTGTAACGATTTTGCCACTGCAGCCTCCCAGGCCACGAGCAAGACCACTGGGCTGGGCTGGGCTGGGCTGGGGTGGGGTGGGGTGGGAAAGGGAGATGGGCTGGGTTGACTGGAAGGTGATGGCGGAGGAGGCTGGGCTGGGCTTTGTCCGGCCTTGGCCGGCTTACCTGGGCTGGGCTGGGCTGGGGGCTGGGCTGGGCTGCTTCGGGCTGCTTGGGGCTGGGCGCGGGCTGGGCTTGTGGCTGGGCCATCGTGTTGCTCAACCCTGAAACTGAAATTGGTTTATTAGAAATGCAAAGGCTGTGTCCCGACCGACAAGTTCGGTTTCCGGACGGCCAACAGCAACAAGCAATTTCTCTGTATTTCTTTCTTGAGGGTTTCGGGTTTGTGGTTTAGGGTTTGGGGTTTAGGGTTTGAGGTTTTGGGTTTGGGGAGTTTAGGGTTTAGGGTTTGGCGAGTCATACTAAGGCACCTATATCATACCGCCCTTGCAGAACCCTTTCTGCAACCGTTTTAGAACGTCTTGAAGAACATTTCAAGGAGCCCTACTTCAAATTACATTTCTAATTATTGAGGCCCCACTTTTTACAAACTCGCGAGGAGGTCGGTACCACAGGAACCCACAAAAGGAACCCCGAAACCGGGGTCACTCGGCTCTGAGGTTGCTTCCATCCCTGCACGGGCCATGAGTCTCCAAAGACAAAATCGGCAGCTGTCACCTCCTAAACCCTAAACCCTAAACCCTAAACCCTAAACCATAACCCTCAACACTTAGGGTTGAGGGAGTAGGACTTATGGATACGGATAAGGGTGGAGGGATGAAGGTTTCGGAACCTACGGTTCTGTAGGGTTTTGAAGTGGCTCACAGGGGATTGATATTACAAGAGTTTCTACAAGGTCTCTGGCATTCGAGAAGTGCACCACATGGCTTTACAAAAGTTCCACGATGCTTGGTGCTTTCTTGACGTCGGAATCCCGATTTAAGGCAGCCTTACAGGAAGCATCCCGTTACTTCAAAGTCGTATCAGGCTCCCTAAACCCTGTAACGGTAAGCCCTGAACCCGAAGCCGTCCGGCTTCCTGATAGAAGGGATCCTCTTACTCGACGATCAAGGTTCCCAATCTTCTGAAGATCCATAAACCGTATCAAAAAGCCTATAGAACCCTTAAACGAACCCTTAAAAGGAACCCTTAAAGGGACCCCTTAAGGGATCCCTCAAAAGGAATCCTTAAAGGAACCGCTTAAAGGATCCCTCAAAAGGAACCCTGAAAAGACCTAAAAGAAACCCTTAAAGGAACCCCTTGAAGGATCCCTCAAAAGGAACCCTTACAAGAACCCCTGAAAGAAGCCCTTAAAGCAACCCCTTAAAGGATCCCTCAAAAGGGAACCCTTAAAGGATCCCTCAAAAGGAACCCCGTAAAAGGAATCCTTAAAGGAACCCCTTAAAGGATCCCTCAACAGGGAACCCTTAAAAGGAGCCCTCAAAGTGGTCCTCTTACCTTCTGAAAATCCCGGGATGAGAGCCATGCCTCCGCCGAGAACCAGAACCAGCCAATCTGGGAATGCCGGGCAGAGGGTGGCTCTTGGGTTGAAGGTTTAGGGCTTAGGGTTTAGGGTTTAGGGTTTAAGGTTTAGGGTTTAAGGTTTCGGGCTTAAGATTGGGAGTTTTGGGTTAAGGATTTCTGGTTGAGGCTTTTGCGATTTCTGATGCGGGTTTTAGGGGCTTCCGGATGGACCCGACACCCTAAACCCTAAACCCTAAACCCTAAACCCTAAACCCTAAACCCTAAACCCTAAACCAGACTGCAGGTTCTCCGAGGCTCCGGCAGCCCCAAACGCGCGAGCAGACCAGTATACCCCCCAACCTACTGTTCATGATCTACATCCTGCATTACCATAAGGGCCCTAGACTTTGGGAATTATGGTATATTCCTCATAATGTGCAATGCAGGATTTATATCATCAACCGTAGTTCAAGGATCATGGAGTTAGTAACTAGGGCCACTAGGGCTGTAAATAAGGTGACTACATTTACGATTGCCTTGATTCCTTTTGAAGGCACTTGCAACCTGACCTACTAACCTACGAAACACACCGATCCCCCAAGTAGTGTGACGCCATGATGCCACAGCACGGGGAACATTAGAGCACCAATTACCCATGCAGAACCGACCTAGTAACTCGTAAGTCGCATGATCATGAGGGTACCCAACATGCCAGTCAGGTTATACAGGCCGAGCAGGTAGTAGAGCTCGCAGGTGATCTCCTGTGAATGGGCCATATTGTGCGAACCCAAAGCCTGCAACCACACAGGTTAGTCATTGTGATGTCTACGCTGAACGGGGTGATGTTAATGACGATGATGGTGTTTATGGAGATGATGGTGGTGATGGTGATGTCCATGAAGAAGATGCCAGCCATCCTGCTGCGCATAATGATGGTTCTATGTAACGTATGATGGTGACGGTAATGACAACGGCAACGATAATGAGGATTGCGGTGGTGATGATGATGATGATGTTGATGTTGATGGTGATGTTGATGATGAAGAATATGACGATGAAGATGAAGATGAAAACGATGATGATGAAAAGATGATGCTGATGATGATGATGGTGATGATGGTGATGAGGGTGATGAGGGTAATGGTGATGATGAATGATGGTGATGGTGATGATAGAAAGGATGATGATGATGATGACCATGATGACCATGATGATGGTGATGATGATGACGACGATGACGATGACATGATGACGAGGACGTGACATGACGAGGAGGAGCAGGAGGAGGGCGACATTGACTATCAGGATGTTGGTACGTTTGTTAACGAAGATGGTGATGATGATGATGGCGATGATGACGACGATGATGCATATGGCGCGACACCAGCGCATGACAGCACAGATGCTAATGAGACCATTGTCGACATGCACTCAACGAGCCAGTGCGGAAGATTGCAGACGCAGGCGACTGTTGCGCCGTTTCAATCTACTCTATTAAAAACTTGATTGGCACCGAATATCTCTGGAAAAGTTGGGCAACTTCTCGTTTGGCATTTTCTCGCTTGCGTAGTATCTCTTTGGCCTTACGGACCCGTCTGTCGCAGGCGCAATCCCCCAATGCCCAAGACATGCGCATCCAAAGAAGCTCGGAGTACGAGTGCGTTACTGACAAGTGAATCCCTGCCTCTGCTAGAGCTGCCTGACCTGCACCTCCAACCTGACAATCCAAAAGGGACAATGGGAGGGTGCGAGGGGCACCGCAACATCGTTCGACTACCCATCTATGTTGCCACGCAAAGTAGAATTTTTGATCAAAATCGGAGAAGAAATCTGCAAGGATTGAGGCGGCCTCATCACTAAACCCTAAACCCTAAACCCTAAACCCTAAACCCTAAACCCTAAAACCCTAAACCTAATGCTGCACTGAATAATCCAGACCAAACGTAATTCCCCGAGGCTTCTGAGTGTGTTGACCAGTGCTGCAGCGAGCTCCGACCCGATGTCACAGTGAAAGATCCTCAATTCTACTTGGAGGTTCATGGGTACTTATAAGTGGGGTTATAAGTCCCCCAATATGGGTTATAATTATGGTTATCCTACTTATAACCCTACTTATAACTACCCATGAACCTCCAAGTATCAGGTTCACGTAATGTAGCAGGGCCTCGGTGAGCAGCAGGAACTCGTCGCGGGGCAACCAGGCTACGTCGAGCTGTCTGCAAGCAGTTGCTTTCTTCCAAAATACCATTTCTTGCAGTTCCATCACAGCCTTCGCATCGGATCGGTGTGTAAACCTCAAAGCGATCTCCTGCACACGCTTTTGAAAAGTAGCTGGGAGCATCGGAGCATAGCCGTGAATACAGCTGCTCGCGCTCATCCACTGCGTTTCAGCAATAAACCAACCCCTGGCGTTGTAAGGCGTACTGTTCAGTTCTAGCTTACTGAAAGCCTGCGGTCCAAACTGGCCAGCCTTGTCTGGCACACCGTGAGTCTGCTCTGTCGGTATATAATGATGCTGCGGCTGCACTTCCTCATGGTAAATGTCGATGAAGTTTGGCGCAAACAGCTTTTCGAAATCAGAAGTAAGCTCCTCCAAGCGAATTACCCGGTCCACGGCCTGGTGCGCATACAACATGTGCATTGACCTCATGGCACGCTGAAAGAACTGCTGCTGCTGGGGAGTGCGCGGGTATTGCGGGAGGCTGATAAAATCGATGAAAATCCAACATTCGGCATCTTCTCCCGTCTCTTTAAAGACGGATTCCTGATATTCTGAAATGATGTTGACTAATCTGTGCAGCTGGCTGCCCCATGGATCCGGGTGTTGCTTCGATTCCCAGCAATGTGACACGGTTAAGAGATGAGCTCCCTGCCGGAGTTCTCTGAATGGCGCTGATATGCGGTTGAACTCGCCACTGATACCCAACACGGACTTCTTCCAGTTGTCGCTCAATGCACGAAAACGGTTCGGATCACGCGAATACGCAGACGCACCATGCGCGAGCTCAGCGAACTGCATCCATTCCTTCAATTCCTCCTGATCACAGCCAGACTTGAGCATGAGGAGCTGTTCCATCGCCCTCTTAAAACCTTCTGCCTTGGAAACCCTTTGAATTTTCGAAAGCCGTCTCTGTACCTCAAGTTCCCCGACGGTCACGAGCGCATTTGGGCTCCACTCAGCCGCTTGCCTTCGAGCCCAAAGCCTCCTTTCAGCAACGAGCTGTCTGAGGTACTCGAATCGGACGAGTCTGATGTCTGCATAGATCAAGTAGTCGAAGAAAGTCTCGGGCGTGTCTAAATCGAACCATATGGCCTCATAGGGAAATCACATCGAAGATGCTATGCTCAAATTGCGTGCATGGCCCATTGCCCATGAGTCCTTTGCCCCGGAGCACTGTGCAAACTGAGCCGTACCTGCGTGATCAGCCTCTATCTACCACGTTCATGCAGCTGCTTTCAGAAACGGACTTTTCCCCACGCAAGAGCCTGCCGACCTGCTGCTTCTCTAAGCAAGAAAACCTTTCGAAAAACCTTCCCAATTCCGGGGTCCTAAGCCCTAAACCCTAAACCTAAACCTAAACCCTAAATTCCCACAACGAACCCACTTCCGGGGTCCTTGGGGGCATCGTGGTCGAAGAAGATCCGAACGTTGGAGTCGACAGGCAGGGGCACAGTGCTTCCACTGCTGCAGAATGTGATCTGGACTTTCACAGGTATCGAAACGTGCGCACAGAAGAAAGTTCTACTCCTGCTGCGGTATTGGGCGATGGTCTCATGGATGTGGGGCATGGGCATGGGTACATTCCACAGAGAAACAAGTTGATAGTTCGTAAGATGACCCGACACGTACTACGTACAGCTGCATCTTCAGTACCTACGGGTCAACTCAGGTCTCCCTGAGACCCCATAGCGAATACCCTAAACCCTAAATCCCAACTCTTATCTTAGTGGAACCCATAGCGAAAAACCCTAAACCCTAAACCCTAAACCCTAAACCCTAAACCGTGGCTAAATACCCCGAACCCAACAAGGATCTACGCATTGGGCCCACGGCATACCCTACACTCGCTACTTCAGGGTTTCCGGCTTTTTGGGGTTTATGGTTTAGGGTTT